AGCCCTGGCTGTGTTTAACACCCACTGGGAATGATAACCATGCTCTTACAGTGGCTGGAAAGTGATGACCAAACAATCACCATTCTGCTAAAGCAGGGATAACCGAGCACCTTTTAAGACAGTTTCTCCTGAAAGGCTTGTTTGCTCTTGTACATGGTTGTTAATGTGTACTAGCAATTTATGGTGTGAAGTGGGTGTTGTTTGAGCCACACACTGAAACCCTGAAGTTCTTAGACATTACCTGACTGAGATGCATTCAGAAAGAATGTCTGACTCAGTTGGTTTTGACATTAGCTGGTCTTTAATCTACCAGCTTTTTTGTGATGTTAGATTGTTTATGGCAAAGATGATTACACAGTGGATTTGTCCGGCCTTTGACGTGCACTTTCCAAAGTGCACAGTGGGTAACTGCGACGTCTAGACCTGATTCTCCTCATATTGTCTTGACTTCATGTGTGAAAAGAGCTTTAGCATACTGGAAACTTCATTTGCATGCATCTCAAATTATAGCTAAAGAAAAATTGCACGTAATAACACACAGTGGTATTAAGTGACAAACATTTTATTTCCTATCACGTCTATAACTTTTCAAGCTTAAATTAAAGCAAAGTTTTACAATTAAGATTAAGATCTATAAACGGTATAAATTTGAAGGTCAAGAAAAAACAGGGATTTTTTAAAAAAATATCAAAAACTACATCTTGCATAGGAAACACTCAGTTTATTTTGGCCAAATTGTGATGCACTGGTTTCACAATTTCTTAGAACTTGTGAGTTACTTGTGCCATGGAGAACAGCAGCAATTTCTCTGCTCGAGACAATGTGAATCACGCGGGAGACAAATGCAGGGAGACAAATCTGTTACACAAAGAACTGTTTGTACGATTTCTCCCGGTCTGCTGTGAGATCACGAGGGTGCTCTGTGACACAGTACAGACACGATGCAGACATCACAGAAAAGCACAGTAACATCTTTCTGCAATTCTGGCTACACTCCCAATTTCTTCTTACGTGCCAGAAGTAGTAAGAATGGTGTTGCAAAACAGCAATAAAGCATCGATTTCTAAGTCAAAGTTATTCTTTTAGTGGATCGAGTCTGACATGTGGTAGAGAGATGCGGATATCCAAACAATACAACCTGCTGGGTAAACTGCATAATTTTGTTTAGTGTCCCAAATGTCAATTTTGGTAACTGGTAATTTCAAGAATTTTTGTGTGTTTGCAAAAGACATATTGTCCCGAACCTCAGTGATAATTTGAAAGAAGACCATAGTTGTGATTTTATGTGTATGCAAAAGATGTTCCTAAAGCTCACCTCAGCTCCAGAATAATTGTTGGTCCGAGTCACGAGGTGGTCAAGAGACACATTTTCAGCGACAGGCATATTACGAAACTGCAGAGAAAATATTTCCTTTCGGGTACGCGCATCTGGAAGCGGCACGTAGACAATTCGGTCGAGGCGACCTGGACGCATCAGAGCCTGTGGGACAGAAAAAAGACAGACAGCATCTGTTTTAAGGTCATATTTCAAAAATTGCGACACATAAAGGGTTTTTAAAAATGTTTTCAGCATTATTGCTTTATTTCAACAGTGTTTCCTTTGTACATCGCCATTCTTATGTCACAAAAATACTGTCATGACACTATGTTTCTGACCTTTGACCTTATTGCTGGTTGCTTGTTAAGCTGTGAAACAATAGTTCAGTCCACTCCTGAATTAATTGTACGCCTATTTAAACAGGACTATAAAGCAAATGCCTGATATACAAACTGTGAAATTTGAGTTTTCCACTTCTGGCGTCAGCGTGGAGACAATCTCCCCGTTATCTGATAAACCTTCCACTTCCTACAGATCACATCTCTGTGACCCCAAAACAGTCCTCGAGTACCCAAAGCTGCCGCTGTCTCGCTTGTCAGACGTCATTAAGTGGCAGGCGCCTCTCAAACTCAGACAAGCAGACAGACTGACAAATATGTCCTGCCTCCATCTGCTGTCCTCAGCCAGGCCGTGACAAGCTGCAGCGTGGTAACCCATTTGACAAGCCAACTAGCTGAGGAACAGTGGGTTTGGGAAAATAAATGAGCACAGTGTGAACTGGCATTTATTGGTAGCAATGGAATGAACTATAAACAGAAAACGAACATCAACTGAAACTCAAAGTTTCTTTGTTGCTATTCTCCTAAGAGTCAGTAAGTCCTGGAGGCCCTGGCTCTGAGCCAGACAGGCCACAGCGGGGCCAGACTCTGGCCTGTGGAGCCGAGACAGGAGATACTCACAGATGCAAGCCATACAGGAGGCCATGTCAGGAGTGATCAGTGAAGGTTGGAGGGACTGGACAAGCAGCCTTTGAACTGTTAGATACTGCGCTTCTACTTCTGCAACTCTCCTCTTTTACTTGCAAAGAATATGAGCATCTACTGTACGTCATGTCATCCTGTATGTTTGAGTAGGGGAACAGAACAATCAGCACATGCTACAAGTTCAGCTAACTAGTGCATAAGCACTCTGTGTAGCTGGGTTTTAATAAGGTTGATATTTAACTCACTTAACAAGCAGAAATGCCAAACATCTGCAAAACCTATATTCCAGAATTTAAAAAAAGGGAACTCTAGGTGCACAAAATTTTCCAGCTTAAAAAAATGGAAGCAAAAAAAATCTTTTCTGTGTTTCATTTGAAGACCACCTGCTCGATAAGTGTCTTGGAGGAAATTTCAGGTTTGGAGTTTTGTTTTACGGTTTGCTATATTTCCCCTCTGGATAGCAAATTCCAGTTTACTGGGGTGATGGATAGTATCCCAGCCTTTTATCTACTGGTTTTCCTGTACATGTGTGTGGAACATGAGAGGACAGAAAGCGGAGACGAACGTTAGTAGCTACCTTTACGTATCCACAACAGAGTAATGGGTGACAGAGGAGCCGTGGCTCATGACAGCAAACGTTCTTGTTTTTCAGGTCTCTCGATTCTTACTTGATTACAGAAAGGTGGGTGGCTATCTGTGACGGTAGTGTAACAAAATGGATAGAGAGGAATAACACCACCCTCAATCGAAGCAGGAAAGGGGTGGCTGCTGCGGTGACATGCTGGGAGATAGATGGACGGGTGGCTGGAGGGCTGCAGTATTAAATCAAAGATGTAAGGGCTTAAGGCCTAATAAGGTGCATCTGGCAAAGCAATTATATAACAGCACCTGTGGGATCAGGTTTGTTATTATGTTTCTTCCTGTGGGTTAACATATATTGTTGGTACAAAACTGTGCTCAAGGCGTGAGGTGATTGTAGTGGGAACTTTAATCTGGGATTGTTTGTCACAGCAAGTCGAGCCCGTTGCAGCACAGTATATTGCATTATGCAGAGGACGTGCCAGGGACACTTCCTGAGTTGCTCTCCCTGGAAGTATCGGGCGGCTGCATGCCAACACAAACCTGCTGACCCCGGACTAAATAACTCAGTCACTCCCACACACGCTGACAAACACATTCGCATATGCAAGCGTGCATGTAAGCGCACATATATTCCAATAAACTCTCCTTGGATGGATCGTTTTAATTTCCGATCCATTTTCCTAGTGCAAAAACACCACTTTGCACTTTATCAGCTATTAATTCTCTCCGCACACATAATGGAGAAGTGCCTGTAGCTTCCAGGCACTCGGGCTCCGAGGGTTCCAAGACGCTCCCGAAAAAGCAGAGCCGACCCTCAGCTTTGAGACTGCTAAACTCATCTGACTGCCCTGGAGGGAAAGAAAGGCTTTTTTTCTTTCCTCCCAGCAAGAGCAGGGGGCCCATCCATCACTTAACAAGATATACTTCCTGTTCTCAAGGATCCGGGGGAGGTGGTGGTGTGGTGGAATAAGAGGAGGAGGAGGTAAGGAGGGGGGGACCCCAAAAGACAAATACTTGGCTTGGCATGTCGGGCAAGCGTTGACGGGCTCTTTTCGTAACGGCATCATTCCACCTGAAGTCTTGGCTCCGCTGGCAGAAGGCAAGAAAAAAAAGGAGTCAGGCGAGGAGATGAGAGAGGAGAGGACAAAACCAGCCAGACCAGGGCACTCAGACAACCCACTTGAAAGGACAGCAGGACCAAAGCCCTGCAAACAAACACAGATAAGTGGTGTGGGAGACAGCAAACCACCACAGACAAAACCCAGTTGTATAAATTCTCTAACATGAGTCTGCATGACGGATTGCATCCACCTTGTTGCACCACTGACATGATAGGCATCATTACACACGAGCCATTAGTAATTAGAAATGCCCCTAGGTAAAAAATACCAACCACCTTTAAGTCAACACAGAACCATTTATATACCACTGAATCTAGCAGAGTGTGCACTGTGGACTTAACCCCAGCAAAATGTATGTTGCAATGTTGAGAAAGTTTGGAAAAACATGTGGATCAGTCAAGCTGATTAAAAAGCAAACCAAAAAAAAAAGAGAGACAAGAGAGAGAAAAACCTCATCCATGCTTTCTGCGCCAAGTTTCACTGCCGATAACAACAGTAATCATTCCAAGGCATTGCAATCCTCCACAAGAAGTGATTACCCCCTAATGACAGACGACTTCCTATCAGCGAAGGCCGGTACGTCTCCTTAACCAATGAGGAATGCTGGGAATCTTTTCCTTAGAGCGTTGTTCCTAAGCACATTCTTGGCCAGCTTCAATCTGACCCGCTCTGAGCTATGTCTACAAACTGTTTACAAACGGACGCCCCCGCAATTCAGGTGTCTTATTCTTAGATAGAGACTCAGACTTGGTGTGACTAAATCAAGATCAAGATCTGTTTTGTTACTCACGACGCCTTCAGATCAAATGAAAAACGAAATGAAACACTGGGTTCATGAAACTGAACATGATGACTAAGTTCTTCCCTGCACATCTGGTGCTATCTCTGTTTTTCCAATAAGCTGTTTTCAGTGGCACTTTTTAAAATGTACAGCATGATAGCAGGCTGTTTGCATGAATGAGAGGTTTGCCTGAGGAGACATGAGTTGACTTTGTTGCCTGCCCGAAGGCATTTGCTGTATGTGGCTTCCTAACCTGTCAGTCTGCAATCCTTAGAGGCCTTGGTGAGTCATACCGACTCGGAGATGGGCCACCCTGGATTTATTCCGAGCACACACAAAACAGAAAATGCAGAAAGCACGATGGGAACACAGAGCTCACAGAAAGGTCACCATTCAGACGCAGTAATCTTAGATACAGTGCACTAGCCGAATACCAGCAAATGTTACCGACTGTCAGGTGTCACTGGTATTCTTAAAGTCAAGATTGCTGTTATATCTGTGAAAGTAACACAAAATTGGGACGATGAAGATTTTTTGCAACAGCTGTGATTCAGTGGATGGTTTACAAAGTCCCAGCTCAGGAGCAATTTCCACAAAAACACAAATCCAGAGCCAGTTTGTTTCTTTCGCAGTTTTCAAGGGAGCTTCCTTTTACAGATGAGAGACCTACTGAGCCTCACATCGATTGTGCAACATGCATGAGTGGAAGACTGCGTGGCATCTGTGTCACTTCCGTGAAATGTGTTCTGTTCTGATCCTTCCACAACATGCCAATCATTAATCAAAGTGCCTTACCTTTCACTTGCTAAAGTGCCAAAAGGGAGGGAATTCAGTCAGTCACACCTGGGTGTGTGGCATGTCACATGCAGCAGCAAGTCATTAAAAACACTGCACCGGTGTTTTGTCGACTGTACTATGTGCAAAAATCAGGCACCTATAACCTTAACTTACTGCAATGATTGCTAGAAGAGTTATAGTTATCTTATGGATATACATTTCCGTTGTTCAATTTATGGGAGAAGGAACGACTTCCTTTCATATTTCTACCACAAAGTGAACCTGACTTGGATTTTTTTTAACCACCTGGATTCAACATATTCCTTGTTGTTCCCACTAAACTCTTGCAGAGAGTGGCCTCATTGTATAAAAACCTCTCCAAGTATGTGAAAATACCCTTGAGCTTTATTTCGTCACTCTGATTTATGTCAGAGTACAAAACAAGCTATCAGCCGGTTCTGTTTTTCAGATCCTTCAAATCACGCAAATCCGATTTGCATCTACAGAACATTTTGCCCAAGCTTCCTTTCACAGAGGTGACATAATTCCGATCGAGGCCACGCTGTCTTCAGAGAGACACTGGGCCTTCTTTATGTCAGTCTTGATTTCGACGCGAGAGAGGATCAGAGAGAACCGGAGCGGAGGGAAAGAGAGAGTAAATCAAGGAGAGAGGGGAGGGGACAGCAGAGCAGAGAGGGATGAGAATGACAGAGGAAGAAAGTAAGTACGCGGTGAGAGGTGGGGAGAGAGAGAGCGAAAGAGAGGAGTTGGCAACCGCTCAAAAACATGAGAGGCTTTCACTCTGGATTTTGCCCTTGAGTCAAACTTGCATCCGGCAGGCGAGGCCACCGTGTCCAAGAACCAAATAACTCTGCCGCTGTTAACCCCCGCTGTCTCACATACTCGTGCACAGCCAAG